TCGAAATGTGATGATTACTACTTGAAATATGAAAAGCTGAAAATTAATTAATTATGCAAATTAGGTAATTAATATGTACTGATATTACCCTAAAAACTACCAGGTTTGTGCAGTGTCCTATGACATCTATGTACCAAGCTTTATTGAAATGTGATGATTAGTACTTGAGATATCAGTGGAAAAGCCAAAAATTGATTAATCATTATGCAAATTAGGTAATTACATGTAATATTGCACAGATTTTTACCCAAAACTAATCAAATCTGTGCATTAGTTTGGAGCATCTATGTGCCAAGTTTCATCATAATCCAATGAGTAGTTCTTTAGATATCAGTGGAACAGTCATGGAACAGCTAAAAATTAGCTAATTATCATGCAAATTAGGTAATGAATATGCATGGCTTTTTACCAAAACCTAATCAAATCTGCGCATCGGCCCAGAGCATCTATGCACCAAGTTTCATAAAAAATCAATGTATGGTTCTTGAGATATCAGTGGAACAGACACACACACAGACAGACACACAGACAGACACACTAGACTCCCTTTTTGTGCACACGGGAGTCAAAAATCCCACTTCGTGCGAGTCCCATGCTTGTGTCAATGTATTTCTAACCAGTGTCATCAAAGAAGGTTGATTGTGTAAATAAAAACAAGTAACGTATTAAAAAGGCAAAAAAAAATTAATAAATGCGTTTTGAATATGCAAGAACACTAGCAAATGAGCTAGACATGAACACTAATCAGTTCGTTTGACTCAATCATTCGCATTACTGGTACTATTTCTGGTTAAGTGTCTCAAGAAATTTAGGGAATCCTCTATCAATTTGTGTGACTTCATCGCATATCACACAAGTTGACATTAATGGCAGTTATTATCAGGTGAAAATAATTGGCAAATATTATAAGACTAAATTTAATCTTGAAGTTGTTCAATGTTCCCTTTTTGACAGGGTACATACTCAAGCAAACGTTAGAGGTATGCACCTACTAGAGGTAAATGTGGACGGGTACATTTATATTACAAAGTCATTGTGGACTAGGAAATAATTTCAATTGCAGAAGAAAGCAATGACCAATTGTCAATTGAAGTTGGTGTGGTTAGTATGACAGTAGTTTACATCTGTAAAGTGGTGTTACAGTTCATGCGGGTGAAATGTAAGGCATCAATTTTTATGTATTATGACAATCACATGACAGACATGATAAAAACTGGAGCAAGTTTATTTGTGTTAAATAAGATTGGTCAAATCATGTCAGTGATAAGGCCCTGAAACAGTAATCAATACAAATAAATAGCTACTACTGGTAGTCAGTCATTTTAAATCCCATCTGGGATAAAAAAAAATGATTTTGATGAAATGTTAACACTAAAAGGGCCACCATTCGGCCATCTTGACTTGGATCTTGAAATAAAGGCATGTACCATACACATATGTATGATGTATATGATGTGTGTGTGTGTGAAGTTTGAATGTACGTACTGACACATGGAGTTAAAACTACGAGTCCCTGTTTTTGACTATGAACAGAAAACCTTCAGACTTGGATCTGATAAAGGTAGTAAATTTATGCAAAATTCATGATGAAATTTACTGAAATGTGGAAGCACCCAGAATAGCATGTGAAAATCGATGTAAACAATTTCTAGAAATACTGCTTTCCCAGAGAAAACTAGTGAATTTTACGAGTTTTGAAATGTTCTACAATTTGTATCTTGTAATGGTTGCGACAATGTTTATATTTTCAATATAGTTTAGTGTGAATAAAATAATAATAAGACATCAGGGATTATTAACATAATGGTAATATATATATCTTCCCTGGAGCTTCCTACGGAATATGGGTTTACCTGTCATCATCGGGTAAAAGTTCAAGATCAACCTCAAGATCATCTATAGAAAGCACGGTGGAATGTATTCCGCTGTCTTTGTGCGAGGATGTAGATAGAGCAGTGCTACTATGGCTTAATTTATGCAAATCGATGCTACTATTACTGGAAAACTCATGTGAACCAGAACTTTCAATTCTAGGGAAGGGAATATAATGAAACAAAAAGAAAGAAAAAAACAAAAACAAATAATATTGTGATGTAAATAGAAAACAAATCATGATCAACTGAGGTAAATAATATCAGCATGAACAAATATGTTCAGTTCACAATTAGGAACAAGAACACATTAAAGGGCGGCAGTCGTCACGCCGCGTCTTGTTCGATATGGGACTCATAGCGCGTGTATAATAAACTGTTTATTTACATGAAATTCGACCACCGCGCTTTAAATGACAGAATGGATAAAAATCTATTGAGCAAGAAATATTGAGTTCCTCGAGTATAAAATTAAAGTATAAATGGGTGTGTGCTTACGAAGATATTCTTTGATGAAGAAATCAAAGAAGCGAGAGAGAAGAAAAAGACCACATGATATTCTGATTAGTTTGTTATCAATGGAGATACAGTAACATTCAAATGAAATTAAAATGTTTCTTTTTACATAAATGATCAGTTTTAACCATATTTCAGATCACATGACCACATTGGGAACTGGTCATTTCTTACCGGTATATACATTGTGAACAACATGTAGAAGAAGAGATTTTCACAAATTGATTCTTCACAAAAATTAAAACAAAGGATTGTTTTATTGACTGAATATGACGTACGTACTTCTTTGGTGGACTTTGTGTTGAGCTATTAAGTACTTTAAATGCTTCTTGTATGGCTGTATTCATATTGTTTATAAACTCATTGAGTCCTTGTACAGCAGTTTGCATATAGTAATAATCTGGATTGTCTTCAGTTGTGTATTTCAATAATTGCTGTAAACAAACATCAAACAAACTAACGATTAGATGAAAAGTACATGAAGGATTGTACTGCATCATGATGACATCAATATAAATATCCTATCTGACATGTTTGAACAACGACGTCATGGATCCTGCTACAATGTATAGTAAAACAGCGTGGACGCCTGAAACACAATATAAGGAATGCACAATGCGTATAACAGCAACCGAACTGTGATTCCTCGGACACAACAATTATTTGTGGTGTTTACAGATAAATCAAGGTTCTGGCAGTTACTCATTTGTATTTGGCTCATCAGTTTGATCCAAACCAGTTTGAACCAGTTTGATCTGCCTCATTTTGCAAGATTTATGGTGGTGTTGAGCAGGCAGTTCACTCTGACAATGCCGTGGATCCAAGGCTACATTTATGTTTTCAATAAAACTTGATACACCAAGTTAAAAAACATTATATCTTTGTTTGAACACAAAAAATTAATTGCATGCTGAAAGAGTATGTGTAAGAAACTCTATCTTACCTTAAGTAGTAAGACATATTTTGGAATCCTTTGCAATGGTGCCAGTAAGTAGGTTGCCAAGCCAACATTGCTGCAGTTCAACTCTGATAACTGTTTCTGATGAAGAAAATAATATTACTGTCAATATTGTCACCATACACCCGTGAAATTTTTTTTAATCTCTTCAACATCCCCCTTTATACATGGATTTACAAGAAACTACCGCCATGCAATCACAGCCTAACCACTAAAATGTACTAGAGCTTGCTCCCTCATGAACCACCTAGTAACATTAATGCATTGAGGGCCTTGGTGTAGATGAGTGGTGCGAAGCTTACGTGTGGAAAACTGTGCTGGAAAATAATACAATGTTTCAAATCCAAAACCTTGATGAAACTCAACCAAAATACAGACCCCTAACCTACCTCCAACCCCAACCCTAATTTCTACCCTAAAAATGTATTATTGCACTCATGATTTATGTAATTAAAAATGGCGGTTCTATAACAGGACTGTTATGTACCCTTATA